ATAATAGCTGTTTGCTTTCTCTCTCTTTGTCAACTGTGTAGTCTGTAAAACAGCAGGAGTGACAATATATGGATAAGATGTGATGTGATGTGTGCGTCAGTCTGTCGAATGTTTATTATTCTTTACGTATCTCTATGCATTATTTATCATACATGCCATAAAAAAATACCTACCTCAAAAGAGAGACATGAATATGCGAAGAAAAGACAGTTACGACAACAACAGAGAACGAAAAAGGAAAAAATAGTTCGAATTTGTTCAAGGATATGATGCACATTTTTTCAAGTAAAGTTGACCTTAATGAATCAATACTTGACAAAAAGGTACATAAAGACATTCAATTATATGATTGATAATTAAAGAAAAATAGAACTCATATTATTTTTATATTAAATATCAAGGTGTCGTACAAGACCAGTCTATATTGTAACTCAGTCGGACCTATTGGTTCTCTCATTAGTCCAATCAAATGACCAAAAAATTCTTATTATTTGTTCTGTTTGTTCTTTTTATTAAATTTTTCTTCAAAATCTTTTCAAAAACTCATCATATGAGTTTCATATTGCTGAAGAATTCTACTACGATGAAAATTTTCTCTTCAATTGATTCAGCATCTTCGTATACAAGTGTTTCATAGTTTCAATACATCATTCAAGAAAAAAAATTTTGATGATCGAAATATTTAATATGCTCAATCAAAAATCAGAACTAGTTTTAAATTGTTTCGAAGTCTCTTGATTTTTGACATGTATTCTACAATCATGTCATGCACAATCTAACAAAACAATGCTGATATTTATCAACGAACAAAATCTGTAATAATGTGAGGATGTACATTATTTGAATTAATATTGACTAAAGTTTTGTTATTTTATTTGAATAGGAAAAGAAAATGTTTGGAATAATTTTATTCAATTGTTTTATATCAAGTTCATAAAACGTAAGAAAAAAAAATTGTTTTTAATTAGATAAAAGTATCTTGTTTTTCTATTCTGATAAGGTGATACGTTTATATATAATAAATTTTTATGAAAATATACAGTGTAAAATGAGACGTAACTTACAATAGATAACAAGTGTAATTTTTAAACATGAAAAGATATTGATGTTGACATAAACATCTTCTGTATTGTGTATGAAAACGGAAGACAAAATAGTACGAAATGTGTACATTTTCTTGAGATATTTGTTTTCAGGTTTAGTTGAGAGAAAAATCTATTTTATTACATAGAAGTTTAAATCAATAGAGTAGAAAATACATTGAGTTTTTGTTATATATAATCAGAACAACTTATGTTGAATTGTATTTCAATACAATTGAATAGGAATCTGTTTTCTTGTGAAATCTAATACTATATAAAGATAAAACTATTGTAATAAAATGGCTGCATATAAATCATCGTAGATTATTTCAGAAGTACTGTCAAGAAGGTTATTAGATCATAGAGAGAGAATCGTATTTCCCGCAATACTTCAGATGTTTCTCAGGATTTGTGTTTTCTAATTGAATTCTTTGTGTTAATAATTTCATGGTTGAGATCAGCTGCATACAGCTTTTCACCACTGCATTAAAACAACACATATAGCTTCTAAATTTGAGAGAGAGAGAGCATTAAATAACAATGTTTGAATGTATACACTTGTGTATATTCTCGTTCGAAGAAAGAAAAAAAATATATAAATTGTTTGGTCATTGTGATTTTAGTATAATGTCTCGCAACCGGGTCAAGTATCCAGCTTCGAACTCGGTAATATATGAGATCTCACGGTTTAAAAGTATTTTTACTTTTTCAAAAACTGCTATATATTACAGCATAGGAATGAAATCGATAATGATGGACAATTTATTGTACTTGAGGGTAGGTCACAGAAATGAAAAGAGCTATTGTTCTATGAAGATAATTCGTTTTTAATGAAAGCTTATCTACAGATGATGAGAGATTATATGACGAAGTAATTAAACATTTGAAGAAGAAAATAAACTATCAAAAATGTGAACATGTTTTATCTTGATGAAGAAAGCATTTATGTGTGATTCGCACCCTATGACGTTTGGCATCAATACTAAGTTCCATTCCCGCATTATCAGCAACAAGTGAACGTATACTTAGCAAATTTTGATTAGATTTTAGAAGCAGAAAGAGAGTAAGTGAATCTTGAATCACTTACTTTTTCGTGGAGTATGAGATGATCTCTTCTTTTTGTTGTTGTTTTTGGAAGAAACTAAGCAGTATATTTTTTTTATATGAAGCTAAGGTTTGAAAGTTGTCGTATGACTGTGAAAGTATTGCAAAATAAATCTCAAATTCCATAAGTATTGAATTTAAAAATATATGATAAAACTATAAAGATTTACGTAGAATAGCAACTTTGTGTTTTATTCTTCTTATAGATATTTTATATTCTCCAACAGCGAATTATATGTGTTTTTTTTAATTTTGTCATCTACTAACTTGAATACCAATTGAAGACGAAGATTGAGCGAAACAGCAGATGAATAATCATATTAAGCAAAAAAGCATCAAGTATGTGTTTTGGAAGAGAAAGCACCAAATTCAAAACATGGATCAAATGCAAAAAAGAAGTAATATAAAATGAAAGAACATGAAAACAACAGAAAATATCTAGTTAATCTTGTTAAGAATAACTGTCGACTTTAGTTCTTTGTACAAAAAAGGACGGTTTTTATCTCCAGAAAATCGATATGTTCGTTCCTAATACGATTCTAAACGCTTTGAAATCGATTCCTATTTCCACTTTTAAAGTTTTCGAATCGAATAAATTTTCATTGAAAAGGGTATCATTTTTAACCTTTTAACTATGTGATAGTTTCTTAACTAAAAATTAATTTTAGAATTTTTTTTTGGAAAACAAAAAGAAAAATTCACTTCAGTAATCTATGTGTCCTATTTACAGTGGCGGTTGGATTTAAGATGGAAGATTTTGATTCCGATATAACTCTAGCAATCCTAACTGATTCTATTTAGTTCGAGAAAACATCAACTTTGATGGTGCCTAGTTTTCAATTTTGTTAATCAGTGTATATTGATATTTATGTATTTCGATTACAACCAAATCAATTAATATGACAAAATATCATATTTTGACATCAGGACTCTGTGTGGGTTGAGATAAGATGAAACAAAAATCGTTCCATGTGAACTTCACACTCGTCAAATATCTTTTTAAAAACATTTCTGAACACACCTATCGTTTTCATTAATACTACCAAATTTTACATCACTTCATTTTGAACTTCATAGTTTTATTATAACCAAGTTCATATTTCTTTCTCTTATTTTCAGAATGAAATAAAACATAACATTCTTGTTATAAATGTAAATTCTTTCTGATTTTATATGAGTTCCATCACCATCTATTGACGAAGGTCTTTGCCTTGTACTAGGAGATAACTTTCGAACACAACTATATGTGTCAAGTACTTGTGTACCAAAACTTAATATAAATTTGCATACGACTGAAAATATGATTGATAACTAGCAAAGCCTGGAATCGATTCAAATTCTTCTTTTATATCAGATTTCTTGGCTAGAAAATCAAAAATCTGCTAACACACCGAAGATGATTTATTCTTTGTGTTTTTAATGACTTTATAATTCTATGGATCTTATTTTAATAAGCAAATAATTCGTTCAGTTAAAAATTCATCAACAGCTGAAGGAGAATCAACAATAGAGGATGAGGATAAAGTAATGATAGAAGAGGAAGCAATGACCAAGCTTATTGAATCAATTTGATCAGATTGATATTGAACAACAGACGATGAATTATTTGAAAATATTCTATCAATTATAATTATTTGTTTTATCGCATCCTCATGGTTGTAGTGCTTAATCACGTATAGAATAGGAGAAAATTATTTCACACTTATTTCGCTCGAATAGACGAAAACAGATATCTATTTCGAAACGATTGTATTATTCTTAACAAAAAAAAAATAATTCTATAAAAGACGTTTATCGCATAGAATATTTGTTGCATTGCATAGGGTCGATGGGATGAGATGAGATTGTTCTATTTCATACCCACATCCTGACATATATTTTTATATGTAGCGTGTATATATAGCTTATTTTCATCTATGTGACGCAACAGTAATCCGTTCCAGACAGCAGATCATAGACCAATAAGGATTGAGTCACTCAGATTTTATCTGGTACATCGATCTTTTACCAATGGCAGAAGTAATAGAGAACGAGAAGATCCTATCAGTGAGAGTTCTGAGTATTTAGAAATCATCTTCAACTTTCATTTTCTAACTGTGAATATTTTCTGGCTATTGCAAGTAATTTCCAAAGTTTATCTTGTTTGTGTTAGCAATTTCGAGAACTTATGAGAAATATCCATATTTTAAATTTTCAAAAAAAGTACAACTTCATTGTGCCATTGCTAATATTATTCTTTTGTCTTCAAAATAATCTTTTATTAATAATAGTTTTATCTTTCTGCCGATTTATTTTCTCTTTTTTATTCTTCATTATCGTCAGGTAAACTTTTTAAAATGATGATAACAGTGCAACAAGGAAGAATATGCTTAATTGTTACATCCGTTCTCATTGTTGAATGAGAAAGATTAGAAGTATGTAGTTCGTGTAAGAGAATAAATATTAATATTCTACAAGAAGAAAAATTATTTTTTATCGAATTATATTTCATTTTGCTATCCTAATCATGAGAAAAGAGGATCGTATAGAGTGAGCAAATAAAATCTATTAATCGACAGTTTAAAAATTGAACAACAATTTTCATATTTCTGTTCTATGCCATTTTAGCACGTAATAATCATTATGGCAAATAATGTCGATTTAAACAATGCAGCTAATAAAGTAGTCGCTCTTGATGGTGGTCGGGGATGAATTATCGTATTTTCATCATTCATGCATGATTCATTTTATAATGGATGGGTAAATTAATATTTTTTTCAAAAAACTTCTCTATATATTAATGTTCGAAAAAAAAACTATAGGATTACATATTCGATGGATGATATTTATTTACGTCCAATGATGGAAGTACTTCAAAGTAATCGATTTCAAGTTTCCATAATCTTTGATATGTTGCCTGCCATTACCCTCGGTTCAGGTTAAGTATTCCTTTAGATCAGGAAATTTTCATTTGAATATTTTATTCTCTTTGTTTTTAGAACCAATTGTAACAATACTTGTGAACAGATATGGATGCCGAAGGATAATGATAATTGATGCATGTTTAGCTGCTTTTGGATTTTTGGCAAGTTCGTTCTATGCAAATATCTGGTTGTATTACATTGCTATTGGTATTGTTGGAGGTAATGTACAAGTTTGTTTTTATTTATTGTTCGATATGGATACATATACAACTAGGTATTGGCTTTGGTTTGATTTATTTGTCAGCTATTGTTTCAGTGGGTTTCTATTTCGAAGACAAACGTTTCTTTGCATGAGGCATTACTGTTTATGGTTCAGGTTTAGATACAATGGCATTTTCCATGGATTGTGCCATATATCGTTAATTCACTGATATGGTTTGATTACGATGGTTCTCTCCTAAATGAGTCAGCCATCATAAGTATATGTGTAATCTGTGGAATGTTAATAGTAATTTTATTAGATTTTTCCAGTGACTATGAGTATAAAAGATTTTCTTTCATATGTTTAGATTCCTTTACCAGGAGAACCTAGTGAAATAAGACGTGTACAAAGAAAAGCACGAACTGCAGTTAAACAATAAGCACGAAAATTGGTGACAAGTGCTGATATTATGATTGATACCAACGAACAAAAAAGCCAATTGCTTCCAAATCAAGAGAGGTTTGTAACATGAATTATATTGTATTGTAAATTGAGTATCTCAAGCACAATGTAACTATTTGTCAATCGAGTCGAGCTTCGTTGCATTGCTAATTAGATCATTTTCTGTTAGGATTTTGTTTACTATTGTGAAATGTATTTAGATGATTTCTGTTGTTTTTATAGCACGTCATTGAAAAAGATAAGAGAATCGACATTAGTTGCATCTAGCAAACAACAACTATCATCCACTAACAATGAATGTCATATATCACTTCTAGATGTTAAGCAAAATATATCAACAAATCAATTTGACGAAAATAATGAGCATGATGAAATACTTTTTGAATCTCTCGAAAAAGAATCTCCAGTCTTACTAGCACATAAGGATACTATTTATCAAGGTGATCTTCATCATATACGTTTACTTTATGAAAAGATCGATGAGTATCATCGACAAATAATTATGACAAGTGATATGAAAACAGTTCAATCAACTGCATCAACTGGTGAAAAAACAATAATGACTTCGAAGAAATCATTTATTCATGAACTTAGCAATGAAATTGATCTTATGTTATTTCAAGATAATGCATATATTCTATTTTGTTATATCAAATTTGTTGACTAGTCTTGGATTTAATATTCTCTATAATTTTGCTAATGATCTAGCTATTGATGCAAATATTACTGAACATCATCAACATTGGATTATTATGTCGATTGGTATTGGTAATTATGTTGTTCACGTTATACTCGGATATTCTTGGTGATTTTTAAATGGGTAGAAAATCTTTTTTCTTTGTTTATATCAAAAAAATCATTTTTCTTATGTATTTTTCCATTAAGCTAATTGTTTAAATCTATACAATATAGCACTGATCATTGCTGGTCTAGCTACAATGGCAACGCCATTTTGCTCTTCAATTGTTTCTTACCATATGACTTATGCATTCTTTTTCGGATTTTTTTCTGGCGAGTATGTTGATTTAACGCCAATTATTGCTAGTGATTTAGTTGGTATAGGTAGAGTATCCAATGCTCTCGGTATAGTTTATTTATTTCAAGATGTTGCCACCGCTATTGGTACACCCATTGTTGGTAAGAAGAGAAAAAAAAAATTTTCTTGCGACGATGTTGTCTTACATCTGTAAGGAACCATGCATGATAGACTCAAGGACTTTTCTCAACCATATCGCTGACCTTATTTCATATTTGATAGCTCAATTATTTTAAGTGGTATTATTTTATTTGCTATTCCAATATTAAAACAACGACAAGAACATCATCAAGGACTAACAAAACATCAACGAGATATGGTTGTTGTATCATATTCAAAACAAATTTCAACAGCTGACGAATAATTACAACAACTGTAAATAACAAAAGATTCTTAAAACATTGTTGTTTTTTTGTTTTTAATAAAATTCTAAGTTAAACATCATTTTCATTGTTTATTGTCTTGAATTTGTTTTCATTTATAAAAAAACACCTTCCTGAAATATTATTGGCTTTCTTTTTTTCTTTCAACATGAAACTTTTTTTTTTCTCTTTATTTGTTAAGGTTAAAATAGATAAGAAAAGTACTATTATAGCACTGACATGAATTTCCAAACAGTTCTATTTATTTACGTTTTAATTTTACGTTTACATAAAAAATAGGCACGTGACAAAAAATCCGAAGAAAGAAATAATAAATTGCCATGACTTTCATGATAATCACCGCTTTGAACAAAAGCTTCGAATTATTTTTTTTTCTTTTTATTCGTCATTGCATAGAAAGAAAAGGTATCCTACTGCGATGTTTGTTGACTCACAATGACAATGATTTCATAGAACGAGAAAAACATGCATAGAATGATTACATACATGTTTCGTTATGTTTTTGGAGGCTTTTTCTTTTGCTTTTTCTTTTATTCACTTGCTCTCTCGTTTCTCATTTGATTATTCACATTGGTAGGGTAGTATTTATTCTTGTCGAACTATATCTACACGTTTTAGATATAGTTAAACAGCGATGTTTATATTCAATAATCGAATTTGAAATATATTTTAGATGCCACCACCGCCTCCACCACCACCACCACCTCCGCCACCGCCACCGCCCCCCTCAGCACCTGCGGCAACAGGTGGCGCTGATCGATCAGGCCTTCTAAATGACATTGGAAGTTTCAATAAGGGTGGTCTGAAAAAAGCCACGACTAATGATCGAAGTGGTCCGATTGTTGGCAATTCCACCAATAATAACAACACGGCCAATAGAGCCAATTCTTCAACTTCTGTATCAAGTTCAACTGCAAATCGATCAAATGCGAATGATAGACCCAGTACTGCTCCTGTAGCCGGTCCATTCAGTATCACAGCAGATTTACTTAATAGACCTCTAAAATCAACCGGTGCCAGCAGTGGATCGACAGTCAGAGCTTTAAAAATTGAAAAACCACCGATTCCACATTTTGTTTCTCCTGTCATTCCACAATCATCGCCGACAATAAAACCAACACCTGTCAAATCATTTCAAACAACAACTCCTCCTTCTCCTCCTCCTTCTTCTCCTCCTCCTCCTCCCCCCCCTCCTCCACCCCCCCCAACACCACCACCGTCACAGCAAATACAACAACCAGTTGTTCAACCGTCTCAATTACCAATATTATCATCTGATGTATCTCGACCTGGAAGTAAGAAGACTTTTGAAATGAAATTTTTATTGAATCTGATTATATCACTGTATATGTACTATCTAGTTGATGGAGGAGCTTCACCAAGACATTTCGTTCATCATTCTCCACCAGTTCCAGCAACTCAAACACCACCAAAACTTCCTCCCCGACAGCCTCCTCCACCGCCACCATCACAACCGTCATCATCGAAGTCAATATTATCTAGTGAAAACAAACTGAAAACCGGACAAGAGTCGCAAAATTTTTCATCTTCAACAGGTTCATTGCATATTTTTCTAACTGTTCTCACACAAAATAGAATTTGTCTTATATATATTTCTAGGTCTTCAACCAAATGTCTCACGTGTACTACTACCACCGCCTCCTCCTCCTCCTTCAAATTCATCTTCTGCTTCAAATAACAATGGCCATACAGCAACTGTAACACTTAATCCAGACCATGTTGCGAAATTTAACATGATCTTTAATCAAAATGGTCCATCTTCTTCCAATCCTTCTCCACCACCACCACCTCCACCTAGAGGTATGGTGTCAAATAATTCTGGAGGTACAATACGTCGACCACCACCACCAGTATCCGACTTTGTTGATAATACACCTGCTGATCGTCGTTATGATCAATGGAATACAGCAGCACTTGATTATGATCGTGATTTTGAAAATCGTTTTCGGTTTACTCCAATTGAACATCTCCCAGCGCCTGGACAATGGAAACCATCATCATCAAATAAACCATCGAAAAATTCAAATTTTAATTAAAACTAAACAATTAAAGAAATCATTGAGCTCTTTCGAAAAGAAAAAACAAATAGTTTCTCTTTAAATTTTTTTGCTTTTTTTCTCGGTGTTGTGTTAAAAGAAAAGAGAAAAATACAGTGATCAGTTTTTTCTACTACGATGTAATTATTATTATTCATTACTATATTTTTTTTTCTTCGTCGATTTTTCTAACTCTAATTTTATCTTTTTCTTATTCTTATGTGTACAAAAAACATACATATATGATGAAGAAATTTTAAAGCAAAAACAAAATAATAAAATAAATTTATTCATTTTTCCTTTTTATATAGAATTAAAAGTGCAAGTGAATAGTGTTTTTGATATTGCATAAACTCAATTGAAATCGATTACAAACAATGACGGATCCTATGGCAAGGCAGAGGCGACAGTCGTCTCCCTCTTTGAAGATTTCTACAGACAAAGAGTATGAATTTCACATTACTTTAAAATTTATAATGCTGCTTGTATTCTGAAATGAATGATTCACGACAAGAAAAGTAACTTATACATATGCTCTCTATAGTGTTATTACTTGTATCAAATATTTTGTCACTTGTTTGATATAATTTCTATTCTTGTCAAACAGCTGATGAGCGTTTGTAGAGTTTAGCATTGAAATAACTAACGATCATGCTAACAGTTCATTTGTTCTCATGTTGTCGATAATTAATAAGTATCGGATTCAGTAAAAAGATCTACGTAATTCATGTTCCACATCATGTTCAATGCAACGGTATCTTCTTCTCGATTGTCAAAATATTTGACAAATTTACATAATGTTACGGATGAAAACAATCACAAGCAAGCGAACGTTTTTCAACGTTAAAGTTGATAAAATCATATCATCATAGTACAATAGGTGAAAATTATCTGAATGGACTACATATGGTGACTGTACATTCCATAATGATTCATATTGATATCGAAAAACTCATCGACTACGTCTCAAAAACGAAAAAAATCAACAGCTAAAATTTCTTGTATGATTTGTTTCTTGGTTATTTTTTAATCACTTCCGTTTTAAATTTTCTAGATTTGCCATTGATTACCTATTGCTAATGAATATGAAATTAATATGATGCAAGATGTTTATAAAAAAATATTTAAAAAAAATCAGATATTCTACAAACTTCAATCAATAAATTATGTCTTTTAACAAACTAAAGAATAACGATAATTTGTCATACAAAAATATATTTTATTTCAAAATATAACGATTCACAATTAACTAAAGATTAATTTATTTTTCATAACAGCAATTTAAAAATTCTGTTTCAAATATTCTGATGTGAATCAATATGTATAAATCATTGGGTAGATTTTCTTTTTGTTTTAAGGAAGTCTTTTTTTTTCTACACATTAAAAAAACGAACAACCTAATACATGGTATTATTCTTCTTCTTGTTCTGTCCAGACATCTAATCGTATATGATGACGAATTTGTTCATCTGGTGGTACATAAATACGTTCAATAGGAACACGAAGTTGATCAAGTTGATCTTTTGGTAAAACAGCGTTATTATATTGAGTTTGAACAAATGAAGTTATATCAACAATACGTATAATATCCCGACCATCAAGAAAACTTTCAATTTTTTTAAGACCTAATTGAATAGCTCGACGACCATTGACCGGTTCACCATGTGGATGATGATCAGGATCCCATTGTAAACGAATTAATCCTTGATGATTTTTATTTTTCGAATCTTGTTCATCATCTTGAGGAAGACCTTTATGTGAACTATGTACAGCTTGTGCTAAATAACTATCAAATGCTGAACGTCGAAGCCATATCGCTAAAATATGTTCTTGACTCGATGACGCTGCCCATTGAGATCGATACATCATCCAAAGAAAATTTGTTTTTATCCCTAAAATAATATTTTGTATTACATTCTTATAAAATCTAATCGAAACTGGTATCATACATGTCATACGTTGTTGATTGTAACCAGGACATCCTGTAAAATGATTATTCTCACAAGCAAATTTNTCAACTACGAATATGTTACACACCTGGTGAATTTCTAACTGTTGATGAACAACTTATTCCTACTCGTGGTCGTTGCAACTTTCGCCAATACATACCTAGCCAGCCTGGCAAGTATAGTGTGAAGATATTTTGGTGTTGTGATTCGAGCATGTCGTATCCACTGAATGGTGAGGTTTATCTTGGGCGTCAACCCGAAAAATCAGCTGCAACTCAAGCTACGAATCGTATTAGTAATCTGGTGAAACGACTGGTGCATCCATGGATCAACACTGGCAGAACAGTCACCACAGATAACTATTTTACCAGTGTAGAATTGGCTGAAGATCTATTGGGAATGAATACTACTCTTGTTGGAACAATGCGACGAAACAAGAAAGGAATTCCACGTGAGCTTCAGCCTGATCGTCAACGTCCTGAAGAATTATCAATATTTTGTTTTGATCGACAACTAACATTGGTTAGCTATGCACCAAAAAAACGACATGCTATGATTCTACTGTCTTCGATGCACCATGACAAGGTTGTCGACAATGATCAAAAAAATAAACCCGACATTATTTTATATTACAATGACACAAAAGGTGGCGTCGATCGGATGGACCAAATGGTACAAACTTATTCATGTAAGCGAAAAACGAAAAGATGGCCCATGACTTTCTTCTTCAATGTACTCGATGTTGGAGGTATTGCTGCTTTTGTGGTGTGGATTACCAAGAATCCTCAATGGAATGAAAGAAAACGACATCGTCGACGTTTATTTTTAATCTAATTAGGTCATGAACTTGTTGATCCCTACTTGAATCGACGTCGACAACAACCACAAACACTACAAAAAGAGGTTCGACTAGCTATGCAAACAATTGGATTACCAATTATTACTAGTACATTTCCAGAAAATGCTTCAGCCGGTGTTGTCAAGCGACGTTGCCAGCTGTGCTCAAGAGAACAGGACCGAAAAGTCATCACACATTGTACTAGTTGCAATATTTCTTGTTGTCCAGATCACCATAAAGTCATTTGTAACACGTGTTGTGAAACATTTTTAATGTAATAGATTATAGTAAGAAAATTTTTAAGAAAATAAACAGTGAAGCAAGTAAATATAGGGGTTTTTGTACTCCTTATTCATGGGATAACATAGTAGTCCTCGACTACAAAGTACTAATATATCATAGTAGTTACTATGCTTATTATGTCTATTTTATTAACTTGGGGTCCACACGGACCCCAGGTGGACAACAAGTGATAGTCCATAAGGTGGTCGTGTCAGAGTTAACTCACATGAAATACACAAAAGATCGAATAATTGATTGTTTCAATAAAAGCTAACAATTATATGAACGAAATATTGTACTATTTACAAAATATTGAAAGTTTTATTGTTCTATCGATGGGTCACTGCGTACTATTGTGAAGATATTTCAGGAATGAGAGTATTAGTACTCAAAGTGCAACAAGCTTCATTTTATTTCGTCACATGAAAACATTTCATAATGTTATCGTTCTTGTTTTCTATGACCTTGTAATTTTAAAAAAATAATTATTAATTCAATATTTATAACGAATCGTCATGAAAGATGGACTAAGCATTATTCTTAGAAAAAAACTTAATCTTTGTGAACTGATATGTTGAACAAGCAAAACTGTAGGTTCTACAGTAACTTTTTTAGTGTGAATTGAAGTATTACTTATCTATAAAGAAATTCGATGTTGTAAATTAAAAGCAGTTTTTATGAAACCTTTTAATTATAGAACAATCGAACTTCAAACTATACATGTGGTCTGATTCTCTTAGCTTTTTCTATATTACTCAGCATATTCTTGACTCTAATCGTTTTTCCTCTGAAATTTTATCAGAGCAGGTGAAAAGGGGAAAAAGTTTCCAGTCATAATTTTGTCTTAACCATCCTTATATAATATCTTGTGAACGTAACTATTTATCTTCCAAGACATACCTCATATGTATATAACTTCCAGCTGCAGTGAATATTATAATTGCTTTTGCTGACTTTATCCAATCTTGTTAATATAGAATATACGAAACAACGTTTTTTGTATTAATCTTGTTTATGGTCACTCATTTAACTAAATAAATTAACTGTTAAGGGGTACGATCTATTTAGAAAGATTCCAAAATTTACCAGCTGATAATGTACAACTTTAGTTGTTCAATCAAAACAATGACTATTTTTCTATTCTGTTATTGTTTTAAATACCTTGACTATGAACAAGAAAAAGGTTTGTAGTGCTGCTTTTTTAGGTATCTCATCTGGAATTTGGTTTCATTTAGATATTCTATTTTCACCTGCAAACAAATATTTCTAGATGTACGGAAAAAGAATGAAATTAAAAAGCATTTAGAGCATGTTATAATATTATAACATAAGCCTCACAGTAACCACTATAAACATGTCTTCTTGTCACTTTTGATTTAATCTATCATCGACTGGAGAAACTAGTATTAGGGACAGCATCCATATTGAATCCACAATAAATAGCTTCTTAATTATCACTTTATCATACATAAAATGCGATATAAATAAGAGCTCATGTACATCCAACTTTCTTAGCTATTATTAACATGTGTATACAATATAAACGATGATTATTCTTACTTTTGGGATGTGGGTGTCGGTGTGTGAGTGCGGGTATGGGTGTGCGTTTCCAGAAACACACCCACACCCACACCCGAAAAGGGAAAAAATATATACATGGCTCAATTATTACATAATAATAATCAAGAAATTTTCATCGACTTCAAGAGCAAAGATGCTTACTATGGGGGCTTGAAAATATAATAGCTGCTTTAACATATCCAATGACTGCTACATTTGAACGATATTTAACAATGAATACAAGAATCGTTATTATCATCATCATTATCATCATTAAAATTTTTCACTGATACGAGTGATGTAACAATGCCAAATAATATTCGCACAAGCATCACAATTAATCTCTGGCCATTACGTGAAGTTCCAAATGGTCAATATAAATTACAATTAGTACTAAAAGAGTGAATGCTGATGAAATATAAGCATGGTTCTTCCATGATGTTAACTCCACGTGGCACAATTGATATAAGATTATCAAGAAAAGAACGAACGTTCTACATGGTAAGAGATATCCATGTTGCAAAAACCGGATCATTTTTATCCGTAAGCCGCGGTTATTTGCAGCGATGAGTGCCAGTAACAGGAACGATAAAACCGTGGTGAACCGCCGATTTTTTTGCTCACTTTTTTCACATTTGACGCTACACAAAAAACGGCATTTAAAATGATCAAAACCTATGTTTGGCCGCTGTCCAATATGAAAAATGTCGGGCTAGCCGGTTAACCGAGCAAAAGTAGCGGTTTACCGCGGTTAATGGCAGTAATGGGAGCTGGTAACCGGACCGGTAAAACTGCAGTAAATCGCCGGTGTTTACCCGGTTTTCACTACATGGGTAATCAAGATGATCATGATGATGAAATTAATTATGATCTTGCAATTGATTCTGATGATAAAAGTGATGATGAAACGTATTAAGAAATGATGTGAACCATTAGTTCGTAAAAAGAACTTTTTTTTTCATGATTTTTTTGAAACAAAAGAAAATAGATATTTTTATTATTTGTAACAGTATCATCATTTATATAGATTCTTTTCAGATTTTTGCTTTTGTTTTTATTCAAGTCGTTTGTTTTCTGTTTTTTCTTGTTGCTCGCTTCATATTTAGTGATAAAGCTTGTGTTTGTACTAGTTTGTTTTCGTTTCTTTTTTGTCTATCGTCAACATTCTGTTATATGTTGATGTGATGTACATTTTGGAAAAACAAACTCAGACTGATACAAGAAAATTAAAAAGAAAAATTCTATCTCAGAATTTGTTTTTTGTCAGATATATATAAGAAATTTGTGAAGAGGAAAAAACAATAATTCGAACAGTCGAGAAAGAACTGAATGTCCGGTTATTTTATGCTTGCTGTTGTTTTCTTTCGATTTGACAAAAAATGCTAAAGAAACTTAATTGTTTGTTTTAGATCATCTTTTTATTAATCGTTGGTACCAAGTAATATGGTAAGTTTTTAGGTTATATTTGAATTAAAGTTTCTAGAAAGAAAATGATGATTTGGTGTATTTAGATTCAATTTATTCTCTTATTTAGTCGACAAGATAAACTTCGCCTTCAAAAATGGTATACATCACAAACGGAAAAATCAAAGAAAAAAAATAACACGTGAATTAGTTGCAGCAGTTCTTTCATGTAAACCAAAAATATCAAGCTTCCTTGAATGAAAAGATCTGAAAATTGTTTATAAACGGTAAATAAGAATTCTCTTCTTTTTTTATCTTCAAATAAATGACTCGTTGTTTTCTTTATAAAGATATACTAGTCTTTGTTTTTGTTGTGCCATTGAACAAGATGATAATGAATTATTGACACTTGAAACAATTCATCATTATGTTGAATTACTTGATAAATATGTTGCTAGTGTAAGTAAAACTATTTTAATATATTCATATATTAAAACTATATACAAAATAAATAGGTATGTGAACTTGATATAATTTTCAATTTTTGAAAAAGCTTATTTCATATTTGATGAATTTATTTTGGGTGAAGAAATTCAAGAAACAAGTAAAAAAAAGTGTACTCAACGCAATTAATGATCAAGATCCTATTCAAGAGGTAAGAATTTATTACAAATTATTATTTTTTTTATTCTAAGGAAAGTTATTCCCACACATATACATGTAAGAGACAGTAGCAAGTCAATACCAAATAGTCGAATATATAAAATATGCTTTGCTGCATATAATTCACAGCATGATCAACTACAAGAAATACTCTATGAATACGGATTGATTTAATTTTTTTTTCATTGTTAGAATTCTTCTTATCTCTTTATTTTATCTATAAATTATAATAGGACGCTTTTGTTTTTTATTTTAGTTCTTCTTATTCTTTATTTGATTATTAATACGAGCAAATAAATCATATGTCTATTGCTATGCTTTACAGCTTTTCCTCTTCTTTATCTCTCTATTTCTAGGAAGAAACGCTACAGGGCTTCTTCAACGATCATAGTCTTGGATAAATGAAATCTGCTATGATAATGATACACATGTACTAAAATGACACTCACGCTTTTGCATGTTTTCCACTCTTTTTTTTCTTCTTGTCGAATTATAATTATATTTTTAATCATTAATCTACGTTCATTATTTAGTGAGATTGAGTATTTGCAACAAATTGCTTTTTTTTTCTTCTTCTCAGTGTTGTTTCCACCAACAGTTCCATTGCCTGTTTTTTCCTTTTTGTTGTTTTTTTTGTACTTCACACATATATATATATATAAATGAAATAAAAAAAGAACATAATATGCATGAGAATAATACATTGATGCTTTTGATGCATGTAGATGTATGTGTGTGTGTGCGAATAAGCTTTCTTGACATTGAATTAATTCTTAGCTTAAAAATTCTAATTAATTGATTTATTTTTCTTTTGTTTTAGGAAGAACTTGGAGAAAAAACGTAGTGTACTTGAAGATCTTGGCTTGACTTAAGGAATGAACAAATCTTTTTTTTTGCCTGTTTATGGGAATGAATGTGCATTTATTTCTTAATTTCATATCCTTTCGTTGTACGTTCTTATTTGATTACATGATTGTCATAAAACAAAGAATGTATAAATTATAAAATCTGACTTATTGTATTATTGAATAAACTTTCATTATTTAATTGATTATTTTCTTTCAGTTAAATAGATAATTCGAAGTTTATCAACTAATCGAATTTATCATTCATTGAGAATATTGGGTATTGAAACGAATTGTGATGATACAGTAGCAGCAGCTGTTGTTGATAATCAACGAACTATTCTTAGTCAAGCATGTCGAAGTCAATTGAAATATCATCAACCATGAGATGGTATTATACCAAGTATTGCAGAAAATCATCATATGAAAATTTAGCACTAGTTGTAGCTAAAGTTATGAAAGATATTGAATGGAATGCGAGTCAATTGATGTGTAAAACTAATTTCAAAATAAGAATAAACATGTTTCTTAAATTCATTTTAAAAAAGAATCATATTTTCATTTGGTTAATGGGGGGAGGGGGAGCCGCGAAACCTCGAACTTAAAACTTACACTCACTATTTCCTTCGAAAATATATGTAAGTTCCACAAAAATTGTTCGAACTAATAGATGGAAACTTATCTATAAACTTTGTTGAATCCATATGTGAAAG